TAAAGTTTATTATGACAACTTTTTTATAATGAAAAAGTCTGAAGAAGTTGGCGAAATGTTGAACACTGAAAGCAGAACACTTATCAAAGCGTGCCCCTTTTTCGTTTGGAAGTGTTGGCTTTGCTATCAGAGGTCATATCACACTATCTTGTTTCAACATATTTGTTACTTTGATTTTGAGTAGAGTAAGAAAGGATTTGGAAAAACACATTATTTTGGGGGGTTTTAATAAGATGTCCAAAGTTCAGTTAGTCTAGTTTGGGAAAGATTTACCACGTAGATCCTCTTTTGTGTAACTTCTTTGCAACTAAAGGTAGATCATAATTGAACAATAGGAATTCATAATATGTCTTCCATGTTTTTATTGAAAAATATGATATAAAGGCAATACTTTTTTAATATATGATTATAGTGTAAGGTGTAAGGAAAACGTTATTACTTTCGTAATTAACTGAAGACCCAACTCTCAGAGAGTTAATAAATATAAGCAAAGCAAAAACCAAATTATAGGTCTTTTGTATTCAGGAAGGAAAAAGGAAATTGCCAAGACTTTGTGAGTTTGGCCCCACTTTTACATTGTTGCTAAAAGCATTTGAAACTGCCGATTTTTAGCTCTAAAGGAATTTTCATGACTAGGAAAAAAGACAAAATTGTTTATTGGTGGAAACAGTAGCAAAATCTTAGCTGTGACAATGATAGGAATGCTTGTTTTACTAGGCAATACTGAGTATTACCTCTAAATGAAAGTGCGTTGTATGTATTGCGCATGTTTGTAGTTGTGTGCGAATGTGCGCGTGCGTGTATGAATGAAACCAAGAGGTGTAGAATCTAGGTGGAAGGTCTTTCTCTCTTGCAGGTAAGCCAACAATCAAGGGAGATTTCACACTACAGTTGTTAGATAACATTTAGTAAATTATTGTTAGACAATATTGTTGGAAAATATTGTTAGACAAAGGTAGCCTTAGTGTAATTAAAAACTGCTCTATGGCTATATGAATATTTATCTGAATATTTTATAAGTAGCAGACGAGTAGATGGAAGATTAGATGTTGTAGATGGAAGACTAGAATTCCTCTTGTTCAAAATAGTCTATGGAAGATTTTATCTGAATATAAGATTTAAAAGTAAGAGAAAAGGAAATTCTTCATGTGACCTCACAGAATGAGAAGGAGATAATCATAATGGTTCTCTAAGAAAGTTAGCCTTTACAGAAGTGGGAAAGTTGCTTCCAGAAGATCCGTATTAATGGAACTTTTCTGGGAATTAGGGCAACATTTGTTTCCCAGCTGTTGGGAGTTGCACTGCTATTACAGCCAAGTGGGATCAGCTGAAATGGTGGTGAGCAGCACAGAAGCCGCTGCTTCTGCTGATCTTGCTGCAACTTAGACCAAATCTGCATAATAAAGTGGACATCAGTAATAAAATCAAATTGGATGTAAAGAAATTCACAGTGTCAGCTTTAACTGATTTTGCATATAGATACCATAAAAAACTTCAGTGTATCTATAATTTCATTAAAACTACCTTGCTAAATCTCAACTTCTAGTGACTTTTCAGTTTAAAATGTGTGGACACAGCTGATATTCAGTTAATGCACTTTGGAGTTAATATCCCTCTGAGGTTGGTAATTGGCCACTGTCCTGATCCTCTGAGAGTCCCCCTGCTGTACAGCCACCACAGACTTCACCTCCTCACCCAGGGCCCCTGGACCACCCCATCATCCACAGCCAAAGAGAGGATGCCTGGCGCAGAGAGTGCCAAGCTGGCTATTGTCCAGAGCTCATGCCTTATTAGTTCTTATTTTAAATATAATAATCCCTGTCTAGCGATTTTTCTTTTAATACTATTATTATTCCTCTACAGGCTAACATTTATCTACAGGTCAATATTCCTTATATCTAATGGCAGTATTAGGAATTTCCACTAGACACTTAAAGCTCTTTTATGCATTTAGTTAGAAGTGCGATTTTAACTTTATAAATAAGTTAATTCTCATCATCATTCTTGTAGCCTCACTGTAAACAATAAATCTGTACTGCATTTTTTTAATGTATCAAAGATAATAAACAGAGACTTTTGGCACATAAATCATACGTACATATCCTTTGAACTTGTGCTGGCTTTGTTACATAGATAGTTTTCATTCATTAAAACTTCTGGCTAATCTGTTTTTTCATTTGTTTGTTTGTTTTAGTGTGGCTTCTTTTTGTTATCTTGCAAAACAATCTCGTTGGACAAGTTTAATATTGCAAAAGTGCTGGAATCCAATTGAAGTCTGAGAGTTCTTAGAGTGAAAAAGTGAACAAATTGAAAACTCAAGGGAGTGCAGTTCAGATATATTTTGAGACTTAGAAATATGTAAAAGATGTAGAAAATGAAAATGGAAACAGAACTTACTTTCAAAATACAGGGATAAAAATCACTAGGCTAAATGGCGTTAGAGTATTGCCAGGAACAACCATTTTAAACAATGAAGTCATTACAAGCTCTAATAATAAATTAGGAGACATTAAAAAAAATAATTGTATTAGGATCAACCATTGGGACTTCCATGATCATCTCTCCAGGATTATTTGTTTCAGACTGATTTGTCCTCTTGAAGTCTCTTCAATTCCAATTACCCATGGTCATTCACACAAATGTGCTACTTTTCATCAACAATTAGTTGGGGCGGTCTGTTAATTTGTTCTTATTATTCAGTGTGTTGCTCCTGGGTCCAGATAACAGTTAACGAGACAGAGAGGACAACTGGCTGTCTTGCTTGCCTTGCTGGAACGGCTGTGTTATTAGTTGGCTGTTCTCAGCTTGTCTCAAGATATTGAATG